TTAAATAGTTGATTTGATATTAACGTTGATATATTTTATTCAAAATTTTATAATATCTTCAAATTTATATTTTATTCAAAAATAAAATCATTATTGTTTTCTAAAAAAAATACATAAAATTCGTATTATAACAACAACAGAGACAAAGAATAAAATAGAACATTAAAATCGAGATTTATCTCGCTGCATTATGTAAGTACCTTTCTAGTATTATAAAACAAATTAATATCATACTGATCACACATTAAATTTCAAAGTTTGACCTATGTATACGGGAAAAATTCAATTAAAAAATGGTATAAAAAAACGGTTAGAGAATGCAAAAATAAATGATTTACCAATTATTTACCTCAAAAAATTCATTTAAAAAATACAATGCCAACCTACTTTTACATATAATACCAATTATTCACATGTGAATCCAAGTTTTTTTTTACCAATTATTCATATATAAATCATTTATTTATTCACAATATTTTTTTTGTTATTCCTCTTACTTTCTCTCTCTTCTTTAATAACCCTCTCACTATAAATATACATACATCCACCATTCTCCATATTCAACTCTTTTGTTACAAAGCAAATGAAGGGTGGTGGAAGCAAAGTTTACCAGAACACTGCTTCTGAATTTGGTTTTGAGGCTTCAAACATCGGTATGGAAGGAAGTGATGTAGCCATCACCACCCGACGATCGACCATAACTTCTGATGGCAGTGGTTGTGGTTTTGCTACTCCACTGAAACGGAAAAGAGGCAGACCAAGAAAATACGACTCCCATGGAAATTTCATAAGAAGACCAAGTGCACAATCACCATCGCCATTGCCGATCCACCAGCAGCCACTTGGGTCTGCTCACCATCAACTTCATGCCATGGGTGAGTTTGTTTACGTTATTACTTATCAACTGTCGTTTTTCAAACCAAACAAAGCAACATATATTAACATGATTGTTACGATCTTTGTAGGGCAAGACATGCATGGTGACACTGAAGGAATGGAACTTACACCTTATGTCATACAAGTGTGTACCGGAGAGGTATTGATTTGTAGAAGTACCATTTTTTTATTAATCTAGATATCCAACCCGCTATGCGAGCCGACTAATTCCAAGACGACCACCTGCTTTGCTGATAGCCTAGAGTCACCGTATTTGAACCTCCGTGACCACACGGGGATTTTTATTCTTCCTTAGATTTGCGGTACCATTTTAGTTCCTAAATATAAAGAATTTGGTACGATTATCCAGATTGGTTGGCCATTGACACCAATATAATATTAATAATTTTTCAAAATTGTTACGTTTATTTTGTAATTGTTTGTTATATTAACAAAATATCGTGTCTTTTAAAAATGGAATTTTTGTCAAATCGACAACTATTTTAGTTTGTAATACATATTTTGATTATCGAGAAATAAGATTAGACCTCTAACAAATAAGACATATTTTAATCACCTATAATTAATTAGTATTCATTTAAGTATTAACTTTAATATAATTATTTTTGATTTAGTGATTAAAAAATAATTTAATAACAAAAAATATTGAACTTAATTTAATAAACCCGCAAAAAGTTGAATATAATAAACAATACAGTAAATTAAAATAAAATAAAATAAACATAAATAAATTAATATAATTAACTAAATTAGCAAATCAAAATTTTAATTACATTGGCCTTCTCACTGGATAGCATTTCTAAATGTGTTTCAATATTGGAAGATTTTAAATGATATAAAATTAATTATTAAATGATTTTAGTCTCAATAAAAAATATATTTGTGAATTTTATCCATCTCTGTAGAGTTGAACCACTGATTTTATTATTTGAATGGGCAGGATGTAGCAGAAAAAATAATTGCTCCCTTTCAAATCGGTCCGAGATGCATATCAGTTCTGTCTGCAATTGGTATGGTTTATAATGTCGTGATTCGACAGCCCGATTCTAGTTCTTATGCTCATTTGCTGAAATATGAGGTAATGTATATTTTCATTTCCATCGTATATTTTTTAATTAATTTTCAGTAAATTTTATTATATGGTGTGAAACCACATATATTGATATCTAAATTTTCAATTCGAATATATATATATATATATATATATATACACATATATATATATATATAAATAGAAATTAGGATAAGAATTTGTTGGACGCGCTTTCAACGCAGTTATTACAAAGTCAAATGTAATTATTAATTTTATGTAACTGACATTTGATAGTTGTCACGTGGTGATCATGGCGCATTCTCGACATGAATATAATAAGTGCTTGAAATAAAAATATTATGTGAAAATGAAATTAAAAGTAGCATTCATATGCATATATACATGAATTCCTTAATTAAAAGTTAGTGCTTATCAGGTAACTAATCTTTACCAACAATCTTACTGTCATTTGCATCTTAGTTTGTATGGGATTGTCTTATAACATAGCACCCCCGTTGCAACCCTCTAGTTTACCCCTGCCTCTACGTGATGCATTATATCATCATTGATCTCTTCCTCTGTTTAGACCGTAATAACCAAATACTTGAAGTTATGCTCTTCGTTTTCGAGTGCGCTTTGCCCCTACAATGTTGATCTCTATAGCCCTAAGTATGAGCACATGATTTGTATTTGCCTTTGTCATGAATACTATCGGGCACCCCTAATAAAATAACTTTTGACATGTACCATGTTAGGCCTTGTTTGTAATTTACTTACATTACTTCATTACAACTTTCATTGTAGTATATGCAATACACTAGAGCAATTGTATATGACTAAGGGACGCTTAAACACTTTAGTCGTCCTAAAAAACCTAAGAAACCAAACTTACTAATATCTACTAATATCTACTATGATGTAGGGCATATTCGAGATTCTGCGTTTATCAGGCACATTCAACATTTCTGAAGATGGTAAAATTCAGACAGGAGGTTTAAGTGTTTTACTCTCTCGCACTGATGGTCATATCATTGGTGGCACCCTTGGTGGTTCCCTATTGGCTTCTACCCCAGTCCAAGTAAGTATTAGAACAAATTTTTGAGTCCCATTATAAAGCATACAAGACATTAACTTATCAGGAGGCTTTTCTATGTATTGAATCTTGCAGATGGTTGTGGGTAGCTTCATACCAACTAGGAAACAAAAGCTTCCTAAGAAGAGGAACCTATATGGCCTTAGAATGCGAGTATCTCCACATGTAGGTCTTGACCCGAAAGTTGGAACATCAGAAAACCCAATCTCACAGGCACCGCCGGTCCACAAGCTTCAAGTTACATCACATGAACCAGCGCCAACCACTGGCATGAAGACAAATGATGGTGGGACAAGTTATACGAAGCATAAACCAAGAGCAAGTAGCTTGGTACCCTCGTGGAATCTGAAATTATCTCCAGATTTGAATGTTGATGCATCTATGGAGTAATTAAAGTCAAAAGTGTTGTCGAAGTTAAGTAATTTGTGTTAAACTTAATTTTACATTCTAGTTTGAGTCTTGGAAAATAAGCCAAAACTTCCTAAAATTCGTCTTTCTTGGTTATATTTGTTGATTCCTTGGCTTTGTTTGCTTTGATTATTAGATTCTCTCGTACCCAAGTGAATCATGGTTCTAAGTGGCATGGCATTCTTCTAACTTGCGTAGTAGTTATTACAACAAAATTGGTACTTTAGGATGTCCAATTGTCATCGAGTGCCTTATAAAAGTACTTAGTGGGAGACTATGAACAATATTTTTTGTTTCTCTAAACTTATAGTCTCATTAAGTACTCTATTATGACACATCTTCTAAAGGGTTGTTTGAAAATTGTTGAATGGTTTGGTGCAAATGATTAAGTGGTCAGAATGATTAAGTGATCAGAATGATTAATAGGCTCTCATAATATAGTGCAAAATGAAATATAATTATTTGGTAATTATTTATAATGAAATTAGGACGCTAAATGGTTAAGAGAGACCCATGATACAAAATCATTCAGAGGGTTTTAGAACCACTAAGAGACAGACTTTTTTTTTGCCAAACAAGATTCAACTCTTAACGATTCAGATGCTGACTCTTAATGGAACTATTAAGAGGTAACCAAACAATGTTCCAATTTGTTGTAATGCATTAGCGTGTAATTTCTTGAGTTTAAAATAAAGTCGCTTTTATTAATACTTAATGGTGAAAACGTTTATTGGATTCTTCTTATAGTCATATTAAGTAGTCTATTATGAAATATTCATCTTTTTTATAACCAAAACTTGAAGAAAAAAATGCCAAGTGTTACAAGTGTGGTTTCCTATCATAACAATTGCATCATTATGATTTTATCTCGAACAATATATTAGTTCGTACTTGGTATCTTCACAATGATTCTCTTATCCTTTTTTTTTTACGTTCAAAATATGATGAAATTGTTGACTTGGTGTATTTTTTTATTCATATATGATTTTGTTAAATATGATAATGCAAACACTACTAGAAAACTGGGCATTTTCGGTGGATTTTTGACAGATTTCCGTGTGACTTCAAAAAAGTCAACTTTTATTGACTTTCGCCGGAAATATTAAACTGATTGTATTTCCGGCGGATTTCTGGCGGAATTCTTAATTAATGGTTAATTAATCTTTTAAAATTAATTAATCTTTGAAATTAAAAACCGGTTTTGACATTTTCCGGCGGATTTCCGGCGGAAAAATAATAATTTTTTAAAAAAATAAATCCGCCGGAAATATTTTTAGAAAAATCATTTTTTAAAATTAAAAAATAAATCTTTTAACCTTTTCCGGCGGAAAATAAAAAAAATTAAAAAACAAATCCGTCGGAAATGTTTTTAGAAAAAATCATTTAAAAAAAAAAAAATCTTTTAACCGTTTCCGGCGGATTTCCGGCTGAAAAATAATAATTTTTAAAAAAAAATAAATCCGCGGGAAATATTTTTACAAAAATCATTTTTAAAAAAATTAAAAAATAAATCTTTTAACCTTTTTCGGCGGAAAAATAATAAAAAATTTAAAAAAATAAAGAAAAATCATTTTTAAAAATTAAAAATTAAATCTTTTAACCGTATTGGATTTTAACGGATGTTAGTTGTGCTTGAACGGTTTTATTGGGCTTTAATGGGCGTTAGTTGGCCTTTACTAGATCGTATTGGGCTTTAATTAATGGATCGTATTGGTCTTGAATGGAACGTATTGGGCTTTAATGGAACGTATTGGACTTGAATGGAATGTATTAGGCTTTAATGGAACGTATTGGACTTTAATGGAACGTATTGGNGAACGTATTGGACTTGAATGGAATGTATTAGGCTTTAATGGAACGTATTGGACTTTAATGGAACGTATTGGGCTTTAATGGAACGTATTGGACTTTAATGGAACGTATTGGACTTTAATGGACCGTATTGGGCTTTAATGGATCGTATTGGGTTTTAATGGTGCATATTGGGCTTTAATGAAACGATTGGGCTTTAATGGAGCGTATTGGACTTTAATGGAACGATTGGGCTTTAATGAACCGTATTGGGCTTTAATGGAACGTATTGAGCTTTTGGACTTTCATGGAACATATTGGGCTTTAATGGATCGTATTGGTCTTTAATGAATCGTATTGAGCTTTCATGAACCGTATTGGGTTTTAATGGAATGTATTGAACTTTAGTGGAACGTATTGGACTTTAGTGGAACGTATTGGGCTTTAGTGGAACATATTGGGCTTTAATGGAACGCATTGAGCTTTAATAGATCGATTGGGCTTTAGTGTAACGTATTGGGCTTTAATGGATCATATTGATATTTAATGGATTGTATTGGTCTTTAATGAACCGTATTGAGCTTTCATGAATCGTATTGGGCTTTAATGGAACGTATTGGGCTTTAGTGGAACGTATTGAGTTTTAGTGGAACGTATTGGGCTTTAATGGACCGTATTGAAATTTAATAGATCGACTGGGCTTTAGTGTAACGTATTGGGCTTTAATGGATCGTATTGGTCTTTAATATACCGTATTGAGCTTTCATGAACCGTATTGAGTTTTAATGGAACGTATTGGGCTTTAATGGAACGATTGAGCTTTAATTGAACCGTATTGGGCTTTAATGGATCGTATTGGTCTTTAATGAACCGTATTGGGCTTTCATGAACCGTATTGTTTAAGTTAGAAATTACGTATATGTCATTATTTAGTTTGGGTTGCCATTTATTGGGCAAACGTTAGGATTGTTTTGGAAACGTCCCATTTACAGCCGTTATGCTGTCAAAATTGACTTGCAATCTTTTTTAAACTATATATAGGATGAGTATTCAACTGGTATCAACCAAAGATACGGCGATGATCCCTCCACCTATCCCTTAGTTGAAAAAGAGTTGTGGGAGCAAGCGGTTGGGGGAAACAAGAAAGGCCGTTTATTTGGGTTTGGGTACAACCAAGATCCCAATTGGGTCTTGACTGGGAACTACACATAAGGTGGTTCATCTTCAGAGAGTCGGGTATGTGTATCTTTTGCTTTAATGATGTTTATCGATTTAGTTTATAATTCATATTAAATATTATAACGTTTTATTTATTTTGTAGGAAATTCAAAGCTTAAAGACCCAACTTAGAGAGTTATAGGAACGACAACGGGTGGAGGAGGAGCGATGGCGACAGAAGGAGGAGCAACAGGATAAACAACTTCAAGATATGACTGATTTGGTTAAACAGCTCAGTCAATCTCACCAATTCTCCCCGCCACCATATTGAATAGTGTCTTTTTGTTTGAAACAATTTAGTTTTGTTTATAACAATTTAGTTTTTGTTTGGTTGAAATAATTGTAGTTTCACTTTAATATATGATATTTAGTTCTATTTCGCCTGTTTAGTTTCATTTTTAATATTGTACATATTTACAGGTTTTAGATATTAACTTTAAAATAAATTTAAAATATTTATATTTATATATTTTTTCCGACGGATTTATCCGCCGGTTCTTTTTCTAATATAAAAATATTTAAAAAAAATAAATTTAAAATTAATATTTATATATTTTTTTCGGCGGATATATCCGTCGGTAATGTTTAAAATTAAAGATATGTTCTTTTAAAATGATGAATATTTTCCGGCGAGAAATTTAACTAACGGATTTCTGGCGGAATATTCCATCGGTAATTAAATTAATTTTTAAAAAAAAGACTTAAAACATTTTGTTAATTTAATCACGATTTTATAAATAAACTCGCCTAGAAATTTGAGGCGGCCGTGATCTGCTGAAAAATGGTAAAATCCGCCGCTTTTTCCGCCGAAAAAAAAAATACCGGCGCCACTTTTTCTAGCGGCATCATCCGCCAGAAATCACTGTTTCCGATGAATTTCCGGCGGATAATGGCACCGGAAAAAGTGGCTTCTTTGATAGTGAAATACTTATTTACCTCACGTGGAATTGCATGACAAAATTGTTAGCATATATTATTGTTTTTTTTTTTTTGTCATTCATTATTAAATGAAAAACTTTTTTAAGGATCTTTTCTTTATAAATCTGTCGTTAAAGGGATAATTCATCACAAAGCTGTTTTAAAAGTTTTTGCGTAAATTGTTGGTGGAAAACTCAAATGAGTGACAAATTACCCAGGTATTTTCTGGATGATTTGTTGGTATTTTCTTGAGAAACATCAGATTCTACCGGAACCATTGGTATTTTCTGGATGATTCGTCGGTAATTACCGATGAAAATTTCCCTAGGTGATTTTTATGGATAGAAGTCATTTGTTTTTATAATGATTATAAAATATTAGTCTCTGGTTTTTCTCTTTATTCTCTATTGTTTAGCCTAACTACCATTGATTTTGTTTTAGAATCACTCTATCAAAACACCTTGGTCCGACTTCTAGTATAATATCTCGGGCATATCTAATTGAACCAACACAACAAGTTTATCAATGACATCGAGTCATCGACAACATAGGCTCAAAGAATAGACCCATAGGAAAAAGCCTTCTCCAGAGCATGCTCATGACAAGATCAGAGATGGTTTAGAACTAATAGTTGATTATCTAATGGATCTTTCCGTTCTAATAATAAACTTTTTATAGTTTAAATAATAAGTAATCTAGTAACACATAATATAAATTTAAATGCATGTATTACTTGTATACATGCGTGTAACAAAAATTATGTCTTGTTAAAATTTAATAATATAATTTATAAAGTTATTGTAATAAAAAGATACTTATTAAAAATAAGTAAATGTATAAGAAATCTACTTCAAACATTCTATTGGATGTTAATTTTTTTTGTAATGGGTTAAAATCAATGAATTATTGATTATATCAAAATTTATACCATTTTGATTCACTACAAAAATCAGAGTATCAGCAAGGGAAAAATCCCTCGTAAATCCGTCGCTGAAAGAGCAATCCGTCGCTGATCCGTCATTGATACTCCGTCGGTTAAATAGTCGTAGGTAATG